CTAATAAAGTTGGCTCGGTCTAGGATAAAGAGTAACACGTTTCAATACACACCGCATAGATCAGCTCTTTGTGCATCGCGTGAAAATCTTTGCCCTTTTCTATTCTCATTTGTCTTTTTAGTGGGCTCTGACCTGTTTACAATCAAACCATCAAACAATGACAAGGATGGTTACATACAGTACATTTACACAACAACAGATGTCACTATGACTGAGTAAGCTATCCGTAAGACATTCGTTACCGAGTGTTCAATCTTTACATTTACCTAAAAAGCAAATTTGGTGTTCTCATCAGTTGAGGTTCTTGACTGTCTTTGCAGCACTTATTTGGCATTTTATAGTGAATCCAAAATGCTCGTGTAAAAACGCATTATTCACCGCTACCATTTTGAAAAATAAAATGCCTACTTATAAGACCATGTATAGATTTTGACCTAAGGGCCAAGTAGAGGCTTCATAGGGTCTAGTCCCCCAGGGTATGCCAGAACGGGTAGCCGGACTATCTGATATGGGGTAGGGTTAGGAGGAGTAGGGGGTAGGCGACTCCCTAGACCTCGTTAGTGGAGGTAGGCGAGGTACGGTCGGCGGCATATTAGATAGTACCAGGTACGTTCCGGTATACCGACGCGTACCCAGGGTTACGTTCCGGCAGTACCCTGGGGGACATAGACCCTCTCAGTCCAAGTAAGTGTAAGATAGCAATTTACTAGACTAAGTTACTGGAATATGGGTCAAATCATAAACAAGGAATTGATCTGCACGTTACAATTATTGTGTGCAATCTCCCTACTTACAACTTACAAAGCCTCATGATTGCGCTACGTATTTATAAAACAAGATATGGAATTCAAATTTATTAATGAGCCTAGCCTACACTTACACTTACAGCCGTACCGACTACCGATAATTTACATTTTATTAATTACACAATATTCTTGTTGCTAGAAAAACTTCACCCACATCAGACTAATCAGTTACTGATTATCAAATACGCTATAAGTTTGGTTGCGAATGCTTATTATGTTAAATGCTCACTAAACATATAACTATGAGCGCCTGAAATGAATATGTTACCACCTAACCTCGTTTGTCGTTTTGAATTTAATCAAAAACACCGAACACAGAACAGCTCAAAAAGTCAAGCCGAAACTAAGCCGCAAGTTACTCAAACTTACCTTTAATGAAGGTCAACATCAACTTTGAACGTCTGTTGTTGCAGTGTCTTTAGTGTTAACAACATTTTGTATATTTTTATTAGAACATGTGCTATAAATACTTCGGACACACACAAAATCTGCAAATACACAAAAATCGCAACTCACTCGGCGCCATTAAACATGACGTCACCAAAAGCACGTTCTTGCTTTACAAATATAAAGTTAGGTAACTTTTTATTACAAAATGTATTGCTATAAATTATAAAAAATATAAGATTCTAAAATGTAAATATTGACATGGCCACATTGTTTCTCAACGAATGTGACTTTTGGAAAGATACAAATCAATGGCTGCAGTTTTATCGATTAAGTGCGGTGGTTAAACTTAAGATGTCTGCGCACATATAGAATTGCATGGTTCTTGTCATTTTTACATTGAACGTAAAAAGCGATTTTGTCAAATGTCCGTTATTTCCGGAGCGAAATATTGTGGGGTGCATATATCTTCTGGTGTAAGTATAGATCTTGCAAAAACATATCTAATAGACAAAATAACGAGTAGTGGATTCAATTGCCGCCAGTTATTAGTACGTACTAATACTGATTACTAATTACACTAGTCCAGTTGCTCAAAATGTTGACCCTGGCAATGTTAATTACTTGAACTTTTTATCGGAAAGTGGTTTCTATATAGTTAGGGAGAGGCTGATTTAGCTTGTGCTAACCGTGTGGCATACGTTGAGCATGTTCTTGGAAATGTCAGATGGCCGCCGCCGTCGATCTTGGGATTTTGGTAATTGTTAGAACCCTAATTGTAGAGTCGTCGATGCCCTAGAGTGCATTCATAGCCGTCTGTTTTAGGGGTTTCCGAGGCAGGGAGTCATTGGAATCTGGGAGTTATTGTTTTAATAGGATATGGGTCAAGGTCAGGTCAGGAACAAAGGTCAACGGTCAAATAAGGACACTTAGAATTGTAAATTCAACGAGGAAGAAGTAGCAAACGGCCTGTTAGAACAGGTACACAATAAACAGTAGTTTGTCGCAATCCTCTATGACTCCTCACCGCCTCATTACCCCAATCCGTCACATATCATTGTCATTGTCGTCATCTACACCTAGGCTCTGCTCATTGTCTTCGGGTGTCCATCTGATTGTTTCGTGAATGCGGGTACACCGGCGACCCTCGCCTCGGCACTTGCAATAGTCGTTTTTTCTGGGTGGCAATGAAAGGCTGCGACGGTTGCAGGCTGCACACTTACCCCGCTGCATGCCTTGCCCTCCTCGCTGCTAGCTGCAAGCTACTACATGCAGAAGCGCTTGCGAGGCAACTGCGCTGTTGAGATGGTCCGGTGTGATGGTGGACCCCTTTGATACTCCAACCAAAGTTGGGTAAAGGATGAGCGTTCTGTCCAGGTGGGTCACGGTTAGGTTGGCTGCTGTTCCACAGTATCTGAAAGGTGGATTTCGGAGCACATGCAGCTGCAGGTTGCGTCAGTCGTGCAGTTTCGTTCAGTGTGGCGGCTTCTTATGGCTGGCGGTAGGAGGGCGAGACGTGCATCGATTCATTGTCGACAACTTTTCTGTCCGGTAGAGAGGGAAGAAGAGCTGTCTGCTGTCGGCATTTGAGTTGAGCAATGGGTCGCGCCAAGGCTCTCCAAGCAGCTTGATCCATGACTGTTATATCAACTCCAAGGACTGAGTGCTGAGCTGTTTTCCTATTTCGATGGTAACGACACCGTATCGGGCAGCTGACAGCGCATGGACACCGGAGAGCTTGGCTGCACTTATGGGGCTAACCGCTTCAAGCAGGTTTTGTTGATATCGCAGGACATCACCGATTCACTTTTCCAAATTTGAATCCTTGGCAATGACCGCGCATCCTTGATGTCGCAGTAATCAGGAGAGCGAAGGACGTCTGTGTATCAACTGAGGATGCGGATTTCTGGCATCTTCCTGCTGCCGCCTTCGAATGTAGCCTGCAGAGAGTGATGTCTGCCTCAGCACTGGGTGACGACACAGTGCCAGCTTGTTGACAAGGCTGGATGTTGTGAGGAAGAGAGTACCGCATAGGGATGTTGTTTGAGCAGACCTTGTCGTGGGCATTGTGAAGTGAGGATAGCTTGTCGGCATGGAAGGGGTGTGTTGGGGGGTCAGCCGCACTTCTTGGCTCTTTCTCTTCTCATCTGCCTGCATCTCCTTTGGCGCGTCAGGAGAGCTTCTTGGTCATACCTGTCGAGACAGGAGCTATTGTTTTGAGCCAGGGGGTAGGTGGCGCAGTCGAGGGCACTCAAAGCGTTGCGAGCGCAGATCTCCCTGCGGGTCCCAGCGATCTGGGCCCACTAGTGGGTACAGGAGCTGACCGTCGGTCAACCAACACGACGTCTGGAGCAGGTGGAAGTCTATGACAGAAAATGTCAAATCCATACTCATCAAACTCAGCCGGATGTTGGGGTACGTGGGAACTCAGTCGTAACTGGAAGAGTGTGTGGTAGATTCCACGGCTCCGCTGGGCTTGCCCCAAGACCAACAGCCGACTGAACATGGTCGTCGGATGTCGTAGATTGGCCTCCCCGTTGAACAGTGACTGCCTTCTGCAGAATGTGCTCCATTGATGTGACCAATGTTTCTTCATGGTTTTGGTGAAGTCAATAACTTAGTGAAGGCGGAAGAACTGCTTGGCTTTGCTCATGTCCGATAGTCAGTGCATCCTGAACATTCCACTGTGTCGGCGCCACGTTGCCATTGCAGGATGTGTAGTGAGAGACGCTGGATGCGGCTCGTTGAGGGGGGTGAGGTTGCTACTTCTCGCAGCTCTCTCCGATCTTTTCCTGCCGATCGACCTCATCCAGTCTTTGCTTCATTGCCTCTCCGTTGCCTCTTTGTGCGTTGTTCCTTCTCTCTCTCTATCCACTCGACCAGCGTGCTTCTCCATCATCCCAGCTGTCAGCTGTGGACATAGTCGTTCCTATGGTCGATGCGGAGGGGGCGATCACACACTGACAGCATTTGACCACACATCCAGCCATTGCTCGGCGCTCCGTCGATGTAGCCCTTCATACCGTCCGACGCACGGCTTCCGCTCGGCTTTGATATAGTTCGTGTTGCGCCGAACTGATTCTGCTGGAACTGCGGTCCGCGAATCAGAATGCCGACAGCGTGGGGACATGTGGCGCCTGCCAGGTAGGTCCTCCGGCAGCCTGGGAAGGGTGCTCGCATCTGTCGGCACATACCAGCTCATGGTAGGGGCATACCATTGTGGTGGACGGCTCTGCGATAGAAATACGGGCAGCATTGCCTGAGACAGTGGCGCTGGAGAGATAGTCGACCAGTGCCGCTCTCCACGCAGGAACATGAGCGTCAGCAGTGTCCGGCTGATGAACAGGGTCCACCCAAGCCCTTCCCAGTGGGGTTTTTTCTGCTGTCTCAAGAGGTAAGTCACTCTAGCTCTTGGTATGTCTTGCAACCATTTGGAGTAAAACTCTGCAGCAACACGGCGAAGTTGTATGAGGACGGTATGCCCGTAGAGCCTTGTGTTGCAGGGTCTTCCCGTGATGAATGCGTGGTCAGTGGCCACCAAACGCTGGGCTCATGAGAACGTCCCACGGCAAGATGCCTTCATCGAGTTGTCCCGCTACCGTGACCAGCCCGAGGAAACTCATGGAGTGTGCATCATGCCTGGGGTGAAGTATAAGATTGTGTACTAGCGCTGAGGTCCTTTCCATTGGACTAGGCAGCAGTCTTGATATAGTTGGAGTATCAACAAGAGGTGGTGTACTGCATCCCGGAAAGAGTTTTGAGAGTCCTCTCGAGACTACAGGAGCGTAGTCAGAACGGTGTCTGGGTGAGCAGATGGTGAATCGATACATGCGTCCAAACACACAGTGTCTTGGCTTATGGGCTAGAGCCGCGCCACTAGTCGGTGCTTGCTGACATTGGAAGCCCGCGCCAGCTCGACAGCTTGTCACTCTCATGGACTTGCGACAGGCCCAGGCTGCGTCTCGCTGCGAACTGAACCTCACTGCAGCGGATTGAGCTGTGAACTCTCTGCGGACAGAGGCTTTGCGATGGAATCAAGGTGTGGGTGGGGGGTGGGGGGAGAGGGGGGGATTTGTTTTTTGGTTTGGATTCAGCTGTGGAAGGTCCTGTGTAGTGGGCAGCTGTATGAGCCTGATGTGGCTATCGATGCGTGAGAGAATGCCTACGTGTTTCTTGGACTCGGGGATCGTGAGCTGCATCACACAAGTGTTTCCTGTCTCGTGATGCCGCGATGCTGGTGACAACTCCATGACCATGGTGTGGGTGGGTATTCACCATTTGGTCTTGTAATGTTCAAGTAGTAGTTGTCAGCCTGATATATCACGTGATCTATGAACAGTGAATTTACAATTGAAAGTGCTTAGTTTGACCGTTCGCACCGTCATTTTGCCCTTGGCGGGACATTGACCCCAGCTGGCCATATCTAAAATAACTCCAGAAAATGGACTCCCCATGCCCTCTGAAAACCCCTAAAGAGGAAAGTGAAGAGGTATTGCAGTGGACATCTAAGGGCATCGAGATCACAAATTGTAAATTGAGCAAGATCCGAAGATCGACGGCGGGCGGCCATCTCTGAATTCCAAGAAAATGCTGCAACGTTGCCACAGGGTAGCAACCAAGGCTAAATCAGCTCTCCTAACTACTAAGAACACAGTTTCCATGACCAAAGTTGCAAAGTAATTAACATTGGCGAGGGTCAACATAGTAGAGATATAGCGGCGCAAAACCGACTAGAATACATTAGAGATACATTACATACATTTATTAGAGATAAAATGAAAAAAATGAAAAAAAAGAAGTTTTTTCAAAATATTTTGCAATGCGGTAGGAATAGTATTAAAAGCGGTAGGCGGTAGAAGTCTTCAAAAAGCGGTAGTCTACCGCGTAAAGCGGTAGGGTTGGCATGTATGCTATCACTATCAGACTTGATTATGATAAACACTTTGTGTGCGAAAGAGAGAGAGAGAGAGAGAGTTGGCATGTATGCTATCTAATATGCCGGACCGTACCTCGCCTACTCCACTAACGAGTCTAGGGAGTCGCCTACCCCTACTCCCTAACCCTAACCATATCAGATAGTTACCAGGGTACGTTCTGGCAGTACCCTGGGGGACATAGACCCTATGAGCCTTACTTGGCCCTAGGTCAAAAATTATATGGTTATAAGTAGGCATTTTATTATTTCAAAGGTAGGGTGATAAGGTTTTAACACGAGATTTGGTTACTATAAATGCAAATAAGTGCTGCAAAGACAAGTCAAGAACCCTCAACTGATGAGAACCAATTTGCTTTTTAGGTAAATGTAACAGATTGACCACTCGGTAACGATGTTTACAGAATAGCTTACGTCAGTCATGTGAATCTGTTGTTGTGTAAATGTATGTAACCATCTTGTCATTGTTTGATGGTTTTGATTGTAAACAGGTCAGAGCACTAAAAGACAAGATTGAGAAAGAAAAGGGCAAAGATTTTCCAGCCGATGCACAAAAGCTGATCTATGCCGGTGTGTATTGAAACGTGTTATCTTTTCCTAACCGAGCAACTTTAATTAGGCTATTAGCAGCGCATTGAATTTCTATGATGAAACTTTCAAACTTTCTAATAGTGGTTGTTTACACTGAAGACAATATTTGCCACCTAAATTAATGTCCCATTTTAATTATTCTACACACCAACCTTTGGTGTAACAACCATAATCATCAGTATGTTGATGGTGGCAAATATAGCGTAGAAGGTGTTCTATATATGTTATTTAAAAGCTTAACTAATACTTTGATTTAAAGTTGGATATTAGAGTTTATTTACATTAATGGGTGGTTCGTTTTTTTCATTTGGTTTTCGTTAAGTTTTGCAGTTGAATAGTAATAAGGGATAAATGTAATAAAACTGTAACTGTCAGGTGTTAAAACATGTATGCTAAAATAAAATTCACAAGTAAAAATTTCATCATCACTGTATATCTATTTTTAACTTGAGTTTCAAAAAATTGAAATACGCTTAGGTTGTCATATGTTGTTAGCTCATCTGACGTAGTCAGATGCAGCTTGTAGAATCGCATGAGCGTGCGTGCGTCCGGCCGTGCGTCAACAGTTGGGCACAAATCTTAACCGCTTGACGTACAGTCACGATATTCGGGATGTTGGGGGAGGGGCGCGGGGGGCCGCATCGTTACAAAACGAGTTTGGCGATGTCGAAGCTCGGGCGCAAAGGTCAAAGGTCAAGAGGCTGTAAAAGAACGGCACGGCGCGACATTCCCTTCCTTAACTTAAGCGTATAGGAGAGGAAAAACGCCAGAATTCGCGGCACAAAATCTAACGGCCTCCGCACCTAGGCCTTGCCTGATAGTCGGTGTATAGCATGCCATGGCTAGGCAAAACCGCCATCACTTGCCCGCAAGTTGGAGCGTCACAGCGTCAAAAGTCAATGCGCCGCCGGATACAGGCAGAATTTTCGGGCATCTTTCTCGCAGGACATGCGTCTGACGCGACGCGATTGGAAAACTTTTTTGTCTTCAGCCGACCTAGCATTTAATTATGGCCTTTATTGAACCAGGACATGAAATGTAACTTTTCCGCTGACATGGCGAAGAGTAAGTGTCGGATGAGACCTATTTCACCCTCAACGACGCAGCGGCTAACAAATGGCCGATTTGCTTTCTCCTCAACTGCCGTTTGGGAGTACTTGTGTGGTGGGTGCTTGGAAAGCCCCATTCTTACAGCTGAAATTTCACACATTAACTTCTTACCTTGAACAACGCCTTACTTAGGCCACGATAAATGACATAGAACTTACTACTATAAGACATTCTGCTCAGGGCTGCTACATTATGAAATTAGGTTGCGTAATACACGTCACTATGCACTCAAATAAGTTTAACCACAGGATGAGCGCTGCCGCGATTTCCAGACTTCAATTACTTCGTTCTCATCAAATTCTTGCCCACCAATATATAATGCCAAGCTTGTACGTTCTTCGAGCTTATCCTCGCCCGTCACTCCACTAATCACTGGCCTACCTTGTACTGAAAAATTAGTTTAGACGGATATTTTGCCCTATCGTTATTCGCTGTCAATCTGTAATCTTTGCCAACGAGCTTGCGCTCTGCCTCATTGGCTTGGATATTCAACCACTTGAGCATATTTAATTAACGCAGCCCAGATGGTGCCCCTCCGCAAGGGCCGCCGTTCAATGCTACCATTATTACCTGCAACCACTAGCAACGCATGCTATATGCTATAGTAAATATATCGGCTAATTATTCGATCCTGCTTTTATGCAATTGCGTCGGCGTCACACTGACAGGCTGCCATCGCTGCAATCCTTTGCTGACCGATGCGAACCATGCCCTTTTGATAGCGCGCCCGCCCCACTCTATCGGCCAATTTTATTACACTAGTTTGAAGTGTTGTTTTTTGGTCGTGTTAGAACATGCAACGCTCATGCTACTAGCGACGTCTTCGCCTATGACACAAATGAATTTATCGAGCAGGCACACCAGAGCACCAGATGCAGCCCTGCTCCGCATCACCTGCGGCCCACTTGCTGCTTACTACCCAGGTACCCCGATGCGCAGAGCTTCCCATCTTATAGGTCTGGAAAGCACACTTAAGTACGCGCCATCTCGCTTGGCAACTTCTTTATGAACCGGATCCCAACGAACATCTCCTTTCCTGAGCAAGCATCTTGTTCTGATACACCATCCCTGCCTGCCTTCACTTGTTTCGGCCCGTGTATCCGTGCAACACATTCGATTTCGGACTAAACACGGGCCATTTACTAGAATCCCACCACTCCCCACCACAGCAAGTCACCGCAGCCTAGCACGTGCAGATGAGCGCCCTGTCGCTCCGCAGCACTTGTTTGTTTACATACACTCAGTGTTCAAAATTCACGTCGACCCGTCGGCCCGCCGCCGATAGTTTCGATGCCGGGCCTACAGCTTCTTGATCAAACAGGCACGCTGATCCTACAGCTATTTGATCACTGAAAATTCGAAACACTGAGAAACTGTTAACTGTAGAAATCCCCTAACGCTAACCTAACCCTACCACTAACTCTAAACCGACTCGACTATCTTATATACGCGTGTAGTACCCAATTAATCTATGGTGTATTTAACCATTTGCTTTCAATATTTTGCATCTGAACTGACAATCAATCCCAACCAACTGGTGTAGGCTAGCTGGCACAATAATGTTCATTTTCATACTTCAAATCCGAGTGTTGTCTAGCTCATCAAGAAATCTTAATCGTGAATTAAATCGTGAATTAATTTCTAATGGCATTATTACGGGGTAGGTAACCCAGTCTAACACGAGGTAGAGTAGACTGGTACACTTACCGACCAATCCTGCCATTGTATTTTTTGTACATAACACTAGGGGTAGAGCCCACAATAATAAAATACAAACAGTGGACATAGCCAAAGGCAAATGGTAAGTCAGATCCAGAACAGTATTGTAAAGCTGTCGATAGTAAAACTACATAATACAAATGAGTAAAATGATATAAGAAGATTTACAGTACCAGTATAGTTGGTATGTATATGCAGTGTTGGAAATAAGACAAAAATTCCATCCGGTCCTGATTAAAAAAATGTCTAAATCCGCAATATAAGCTACAGTAATTTTCTTGAAAATTTGCCAGTCCTGCTCCAAAAGTAGCCAGCCCTGCTGAAAAGTTAACAGTCAGGGACTATGGGACCAGCTGCTATTTCCAACACTGGTATATGTCAGGTTTTCTGATTTATGAGAGGTGAACTCGATTTGAAACCAGCAAACCAGCAAGTTCACCCCTACATTTTGGTGTTTTTATTCCATTATTATTTTGAATTTTCTGATGGCTTTGCCCATGCAAAACAAACATTTTCACCCCACATGCAGTGCTTCAAATTTACAGACAGAGTGTCTCAGATTGCATCTCAGAGCTTCTACAATTCAAAAATATTCCGGGGGGCATGCCCCCGGACCCGCCTAGCACTGAGCAGCACCCCCATGCTATAATGAAAAAGCTTGGAGAACCCTGGGGATTATGATTATGGACATTGATAATGACTAATACCCACAAGGAAGAACAGGATATATGCTGTTTTATTACTGTAATTCGCTCCAAATTTGGCGGGCCTATAGCTTTGCTGGTGGGCCTGCAGCTTTTAGGAGCTATAGGCCCTGCAGGCCTACATCTTTTTCTGCTCAGTGGCAAACACTGCATACACTCATAATTTATATGTTTATTTAAAATCAGGGAAAATTTTGAATGATGACCAACCACTGAGTGAATACAACATTGAGGAGAAGAACTTTGTTGTCGTAATGGTAGCAAAAGTAAGTCATCATCTACTGGTGTGTCTAAATATTTTTCCTTGGATAGAATGTCATTTGTTACATTGATGTCATATTGTATAAATGTATTAGTACTTCATGTGTTTAATATGTACACAGCATTTGGTTGTGGAAGCAGAGTGCATTTGTTTTGTACATAGTTTAAAATAATTTTCACAGTACTATACAATGTACTAGAATGAGTAGCATGAGCGTGTCTCATTGTAAATGTATTCCTGTATGACAGGCTAAACCTGCAGCTGCTGCAGCAGCACCAGTAGCAGCAGCACCTCCAGCAGCAGCAGCAGCAGCAGCAACAGCAGCAGTAGAGGAACCTGTTCTGGAAGAGAAACCAAATATAAAGGAGGACAAGAAAGTGGAAGATAAGCCAGCAGAGCAGCCTCCTGCAGCAAGGTAATCGAAACTCTAATTTCGTCTGTGGTTGTGCCATGGTGCCCAAGAAATTGGACAGTGTCCACAGCAGTAAACTGCCTCGGCTGTCCTACCTGCCTATGTGCCCTTTCAACAAAGTTTGCGATGCTCTTTGTGTTCCTCTTTGGCCCACGTAAAAGTGTTGTTGAAAAGTAACCTGTCTCGGTGCCCCTTTAACTTTCTGTGGTCTACTAAACTTGTGATAACACTGAAGGTAATGCTTTCATTGCAATTCAGGTTTCATCTTGGCAAAGTGTGTGTATAAAAGTACTTGGATTGGGAGATTTTAATGCTGTTCGTCAGTCACAACATGACAATTGTTTGTGAAATTAGATTATATAGGATAGTTCCATGTTGCAGTCCCGCAGCCCCGGAAGCAATGGACACAGCATTGCCTGCTCCCAGTGCACCCTCCGCAGAGGCAGCGGCTGCTGCTGCACCCATGAATATAGGCGCTTCAATTGGTAGTTTGCTTGGTGATGTCCTACGAGCAGAATCAACGCTAGTTACAGGTGTGAACAACGTTTTCTGTTGCACTGTTGTCAGTGTTGTGCAGGGTTTCTTATACATAGGAGGCACAGTGGCGCACCGCCGTTGTGAAAATGTTCCTGTATTTACTGATTAGTATATCCTGTATCTATATACCTATAAGTATATCAATACATCCTGTATTTTAATCCATCATGCGCGTTTTTTCCCCCAAACTGGCCATTACCTCCTTTGTCTAAATTTCCCGCAGAAGAAACCCTGTTGTGGCCTGTAAAATGGACTGATTAGATCATTAGTTTATGGGATTATAGGAGCATTATTACCAAATTTACTGGGATTTCTAGGTACCCTTAAAGTGATTACGTCGCTGTAAATAGTAAAAGTTAAAAAAAAATATGGACACTGTTTCACACAATGTAAGTGATTCTGTTCACTTTTTATGGTTAAATTGCTGCATTATACTCCCTATTTTGCTATTCCGTTTGATGTGAACAAACACTCGTGACTCATACAGAGCTCATAGCAAGCATTTAATGTCGTGATCAATATATCAAATCACCCAGGTTTTTTTGGATTTTTAACTAGTTGAGAAACAATCTTATCAGATAAGAATTTGAGGATACATTTAGTCCTGTTGGTACTTACTTTTCCTGTAAAAGAATTGCAACAAAAATTTTACAAAATACACCGTACAAAATTCGTGACGTAGTCAATTTTATATTAAAATATAAAGTTGGAAATCCGTGTTTATCACCAATGCTAATATTTATGAATTAAAAATTATATATAATTTATAAATTAAACTTAGAAATCTGGTTGTAAATGGTGTTTGATTTCAACCACTAGAGACAGAGCCTGTTTACTTGTTGGACAGCTGAGTAATCGTTTATCAACAACATGCTGCTATAATCGATCGATCAAGTTCAGTGTTTTGATTTTACCCAGGTGAAGACTATGAACAGATGGTGACAGAGATTATGAATATGGGTTTTGAACGGGAGCAGGTAGTGAGAGCACTCAGGGCAAGCTTCAACAATCCTGATAGGGCAGTAGAATATTTACTTTCGGTAAGTCACAAGGTGATCGTGCTTTCCTCCTAAATAAGGCCACAATTAAAAAAAATATTTGTTTGCCCTCACCCGACCCAGGCTGAAAAGTTTGGGTAGGTAGGTAGGCTTCTTCTTTTTTTTACAAATTCAGCATGGTGTCTACATGCTCGGGTGTGCTTGTGTGGAGATACCTTTTATGTTGAATGTTTGTTTTCCTTGGTACATATACTGTATTGCCTACAGATTTATATAATGTATTGCCTACAGATTTATATAATGTACAATGATACAATTTGTAAAAAAAAAAAGAATGGGAAAAATCAATAAAATTTTTTGAGTCGGCCCCTTTTTGGTGGGTCGGTCGGGTGAGGGCAAACAAACAATATTTTTATTATGGCCCAAACCAAAATTATAAAAGTGATGAATTGGTTTAAATGATGGCTAATATTTGGCAGCATGAAAATCATTCATCGTTTTGGCAATTGAATTTTGATTTAGTACCCATTTTCTTTGCCATTAAGGAAGAATTTAACTCGGATTGCACTGATTATGGTAAGGTTATCATTCTGTTAGAACAACAGAACAATGGCGGTGTGAATTCCGTTACAGGGTATCCCGGATATGCCTGAAGTAGAGCCTGGAGAGGCAGAGGCTCCAGCAGCTCCACCTAGATCCGATGCATCACAAGAACGTGTCACAGGTGTGCTTTTGCGATAATTTTGTGTTTTTTTAATGTGTTGGGGCTAGTTACTTAGTTTATACTGTTTTAAATGCAACAGAATCTGTGTGTGGCATGATGCTGCCTGTTTGAAAATCAAGCTTTTAAAATGCTTTTTAAATCCCTGTAATGGGAATTCAAACAGAAGTCTTTTAATAATATTTTCAGAAGCAAGTGAATTACCGGCAAGACCACAGGCGGCTCCAGGTTAGTATCATCTAGCAATACCTATGAATATATTTGATTGTTTCCACCATTTGAGATCAGCGATTGCCATCATTGTTAGTTGAGTTTCAGTTCAGTGCTGTTTTTTTGTTGTTTTTACAAGTTACTGAAGCTATGATATGTGACCCTGTTGCTCATTAGCTACTGATTTTGTTGCCAGGTGGGAGTGAAACAGTAGCCAGTGGCCAGCCCCAAGTTGCTCCAGGTATGGAATGTATTAGTTCACGGGGTGCATGGCAGCAGAATATGCAACATTTGCGACAGGCTACTTAGTATCTCAACTGTCGGTCGGTATACAGATGAAGGTACGTCAAGCACCGTCTTCATCGTACCACTCGTTACGTGTACATGAGCAAAAAATAGACGCAATTGGGACGCAAAAAGTGAATAGTTTAATTGAGTGTTGTGTTTTTGTGTTTCTACGTTCCTGACTGGCTGTGCGGTGTCGTACAAGATTTTTACGACGACTGTTGAAGGTGACCTTATCTGTTGCAGAAGGCGACCCATTGGCTGCGCTGGCACACCAGCCTCAGTTTCAGCAGATGCGGCAGGCGATACAGCAGAACCCAACCTTACTTCCCCCCTTCCTGCAGCAACTAGGCCAGTCAAATCCACAGCTACTACAAGTAAGTGACAGACTCAAATTCATCGGGCCAAACAAAAAGTTATGGGTGTTTCTGGTTATGCTGAAATGAGAGCTGGTGCAGGTTAATGAAAGGGTAAATGTTTTCTATATGTTTGTTGTTAACATTTAATCACTAAATCCTTAGTGTAAGTAGGGTATGTCTGGGGGTCGGGTCGGTATCCGAAAACACACGCACATCTTTTTTGTCTCGTATTTGCTTTCATAGCAGCATCTAAATCACTACGTCAGATTTAGTTGTGTTCACTCGTAGGGTTGACAGATGAGGTGGTTTTGGGGTATCCTGGATCGCTCACAAACGTTAGAAGCCTGTTTGCGATTAAAGGTGCCATGCATTTAACAGAGCTGGTTACCGAAGCAACCGTGCATTTGGGAAACATGTTTACTTCAATAGTTGTGCGTCTGTGAGAGCTAGTTACGGCTTGTTAGTTAGTTCCATGTTGAACAGGGTTTATGAATGCTGATGCAGTGCTTGCCTTTCTCCCACTTCTCAGTACATCAGCCAACACCAGGAGCGATTCATACAAATGCTGAATCAGCCTGTCTCTGGCAGCGGGAGCGCGCCTGCGCCCGTAGCCGGTGGGGGCGCCACGGGACAATCACCAGAGCTTGCTGCACCCGGGGTGATTCATGTGACGCCGCAAGAGAAGGAGGCCATAGAGCGAGTGAGTGCAAATTCATTTTCAGAATCTTCAGGCGCAACTTGAGATGTGCCGTTATATTGCACCGCTGATGCTGAAGAAATAACACTTATGTGCACGGTCTGAAATTCTACGGATAGGCTAATATACCATTATTTAAAATATGTTACGAATTTTATATTATTGTTAAGGCTATTATATGTGTGTGTGTGCGTGCGTGCGTGTGTGTTCTGTGTGTGTGTTAAAATTTAACTTGTGTTAGTTATGTGTTGTTAACTTGTTATGGTCATCTATTTCCCAGCTCAAGGCTTTGGGCTTCCCCGAAGGATTGGTTATTCAGGCGTACTTTGCATGTGATAAGAATGAAAACCTAGCTGCAAACTTCCTGCTCTCACAAGGGTTTGACGACGACTGAACATAGTAAGTAGAATACCTATCAGAGGCCATCGTCTCTCGTCATATTTTGATGGCTATTAGACTTCGTGTTCGCAACGCGGTCAAGTGCTGTTGTATTGTGTTGACGTGCTTCTCTAGGCAAAGCTCCAGTCAATCGCAGCATGTTGAATTAGCAGAAAAAGTGTTGTCATTTTAAGCTTTGTTTCTTGAAGTTGTGTAAATTTTCGAGCCATTTAAAAATGTTAGGGGTGTGTAACCAACTGCTCGTTATATTGTTGTTTTAGCATGAAAGCTACCTATTATAAATCTTTACAACTAAGGAGTATGACCTCTCATTTTACAGCATCTTTTAATTTTCATATTAGTTCGATCAGCCTCTCTAGTTGAATGAGCAAGAAGTGTTGGATGCATTGTTGTAAAGCACATCTATACCTTGTATTAATCAATATAAAAGTTCCCCTTTTGCAGCAATTAATCAGTGGTTGATCTCCTAGTTGTTCATGTTCGTCTGGTTTATTTTCAGGAATTGGTGATGTCTACGTGGCCATACTCTTCTGATTAAGACTTCTAAACAGATTGATAAAAATCCCCTTCACATCTGTCTTCGTTTGTGCGTCAATATTTTGAACCATTAGATTTCTGTGAGAATGAACTTGTTACGTTGGAGCTGGGCTTTAGTGTGTCCATTTTACGAACGGCTTGCAATTTGGGAAAATTCCGGGCACCGTGTTCTTCCTGTTGAGCCGTGGAGTAGATCGATTAAACGGGTACGGGTTTATACTGCCCACATAACCAACAAGTGAGTGCTTATTGTTTCTCTGCCACTGGATGGCTTTTAGCAGAACCACAGCAATGGCAGCAGGTATTTAGATCCTACTGCAATGAAAGTTAGCACTTGTGAAATGCCCCATTAATTTCGGGGATAGTCATGACGAGGTTCAACGTAACAGAAATATAGACAATGTAAACTTTTATTGCATTTTTGAAGCCTGAACAGTTTTTAAAAAATATTTTTAGTTTTGTTCATTCATACTTTCCTTTAGTAATTAAAGTGATAAACATCCTCTGATGAAGATCCTATGAATGAAGGCAGAAAAGTTTACAATCAAAAAGCAACAATGTACTAACTTACAGCGAGTTTAAAAGTAGTATACTGAAATTACCATCTAAACATTTAGATGTGTTGAAGTGTATCTTCATATCATACATTCAGAAAGAAAATTTGTTCACTACACGATGAGTGAATAAACAGAAATCGAGAATAACTAGAAAATGGTGCAACCAGATCTTCCCTTCATTTTGGAATCAGTCTATAAACGCTTCTAGTGAAAGATACTATATAGCAACTGTTATACTCCACGGTGTCATGTCAGTTAAATATGCCTATTGCGTTTTTGGAAGCGAAAATATCCTTGTATGACAAGCTAGATTAAATTTATATGACATTTTTTAATCAAATGATATGCAACAAGTTGAGTTGTGTACTCGGAAAGCGACATCGTAGGAATTGTTTTGTATTAAGGGCATTGAAGAGTCAATGTATTGCTTGTACGCATTATGACCAGACTATTTTGCTTAAGAATTTACCATAGATTTTCGTTCGTACCTACTTGAACACCACTACTTTTAACATTGTGTACAGTAAAATTGGGAAATTGTGCTTTACATGTTACTGGTGTGGATTTGTCAATCGGCATTACATGCTCGATAACCAGACTGCTCATTCATTCATCTCTTCATGTTCTACATTTGCGTAACTCATTTCAAAATAAATTTTGTAATGAATTCTGTACGGAAAATGTGTATCAACATGAACCCGTTATGCTACCGTTGTGTGTTATACAGTACAATAATAATACTATAACGTAGAAAAATGTGGAACACAAGTTATTCATATCGGCAAGTGTGGAATGTTGCTAAATTTCTTTTCTTGGATTTCTATGGGCTGTATGTATCGGTGCCTCTAGCAATTACAGTATATCCTATATTCGTAAAGTCTTTACTGTGTTCTCAGTTTTGGCTACATAACGTTAGGAATTCTATGCAATACAGAGTGCATGCTAGTCCACTGTATGTAGTTGAGGTAGAGAATGCATTCTTCTAAGAATGAATTGTGCGATTAATCATTTATTTCCCACATCCTGCTTGTGCTGCACAAACACATATCTCATACAAACATTTCTAATAGAGGAAATTTCCTTTGTGGCAAAACAAATGGATAATATTGAAAATGAAATTGTACAGAAAGATTTGACATTTTGAGATGCATGTGTATATCGCACCCCTTTGCTTTTCTCTATGCCACAATTCCAAATGTTCCATCCTCTATACCAAGTTGCTATGAGTCATTACTGACAACTAGTACTATTCACCGATTTACTGTTAACTTTTGCACACCTTTTGCCTAACGTTCCACCCTCTAAATCCATTATCTATGTGACTGTATCAGTAGCTAGTGTCTCATTTGCCGATTCGCTTTTCTCTTTGTCACAATTTTTCCCCAACGTTTCATCCTTTGCATCTAGTTTCACCGCATTATTACTAATAACTAGTGTCTCGTCCACCGATTTACTTTTCTCTTCGTCACAGATTTCTCTCAACATTCCATCCCCTGCATCCAGTTTCGTCGTGACAACTAGCGCCTCATCCACCGCTTCGCCATTCTCGTCGCCGCAATCGTTCGGTGACGCATCGCCCCCGGCCTCCATGTTCTCCCCGCCTTCCTCGGCCTCCATGTTCTTCCTGCCTTCCCCTGCCTCGTTGCCGTCTCTGTCCTGCCCGGTGCCCGCATCACCCGCGGCTTCGCCATCTCTACCCTCGCCGAGGGCTTTGCCCGCATCCTCAGCATCCTTGCGCTCGCCGCTCTCAGCTTTGCCTGCGTCGCTAGGCGCCTCGTCGGCCTGCCGCCGCCGCGTCTCGCCGTACAGCTCCGACAGGTTGTACTTGCGGAACCTCGCGTAGTCGGTGAGCACGCTCAGACAGCAGACGTTGGCGACGACCTCTACGACGACGGCGAGCTGCGGGTTGGCGAGGTCGACGCGGTGCGCCGCGTTCTTCTCGGCGACGACCTCCGCGAGCGAGCGCACGACGTCGTCGCGACGCAGCGTGTGGTTGTAGCGCGAGCGGAAGACGACGCCGAACGTTCGGCCGTCGCCGAGCGCGGCTCGCCAAATCTCGCTTCGAACAGCGTGATCGGGCGGCCGCGGGCACGTCCTTCATCGCGCGCGCGGCCCGCGTCGACGCCACGCGGCGGCTCTTAGCTGCATGATGTAGCTCGGCGCCGCGCTTGTGCGCGGCGCCGAGGCCGCAGGTCGTACGTGCCATGATCGGCGCCCGCGCCGATCGCTTTAATCTGATGCCCGCCCCGGCTCGCTCAGAGCGTTCGTGCTGAGGATGGAAGATGCCAGTTACGCGCGCACCTGTGGACCCGCCTGGAATGCGTGCCGCTTCGCGTCGCCGCCGCGTCTGCCTGCAGCGCCTCCACCTCATACGTATTCATCCGCGCTCGACTCCGGCCGTCTTGCGTCGCGCGTCGGCGTCCGCCGAGGCAGTCGACGTCTTCCGGCCCATAAGGCGTCCGCTGTGAACTCATTGAAGAATGCGTATGCCTCTGCGTGCGGCATCGGGCTCTGCTTCACTGTTGCACTGTAATGAGGAAGCCCGCATGCCGGCGTCGAGCAGCACGCGAGCCGGTCCGTGCCGCCTGCTTCGAAACCTTGCAAGGTAGATAACTCTTACGTCTCGCGTTCTTCTACCCATGGCTAGCAGCGAGCGCACAGTCTAGCTACAACAAAGAACCGTTCCGTTACTTTACTGCTGAACCACCGATAGATGTCGGATTCTCGTCTTCGAGAGACTTCCGTCCAAAGTAACTTCTCCGCTACTACTGCTGAATTTGATTGTGTGTCTGGTTTTCTTCGTGCGCCTCCTGTATTCTAGTGCAATTTTCTTGATAGGCGGCGCCGCAGCGTTTAAGTACTTACGTCACGCCTTTGGCCGATTTGTAAACACTCAATAGCTCCAATTCTGAACAACGATACGCGTGTTTCCTTATCGCATCGCCTTTAAGAGGCAGCTGAACCTGCTTTCTTCATAGTCCTTGGGACCTCGTCACTACGAATTTGATGTACAAAGGCCACTGGCTGTTGGTAGCAACTTAGTGCACGTCTAAATCGCAGCCCTTTTCAAATGTATCTGCAATGCACACTTCTTGTCTTCTTGCCATCGACGTAACTCACTGCCATAGATCAGACCACTGCAGGAAGCATCTCCCACATCCGTTGGTCACAGCCCGTCGAAGTAGCCTTGTAGACCTTCGGGAAACTTGCGCCTCCGGTCCTGGAAACGGTCGAACATAAATGAGAAAAGGCTATCTAAATCTACAGGGCTGAAGTTTTTACCAACAATATGTGTACCCGTGCCTAGTGCATGCGCACTACGAAATTGTACAAAGTTGGTGGGGGCGGGAAGCGAGGGCAAGGAAAATGGGGGGGGGGCAAAATGTTTGTGATCCGCGTAGTGCGAGAACTAAGGGTGGGGTCCAGGGGGCGAAGTCCACAGGAAGCTGCCGAAGTTTTGTTAGCATTTTTGAGTGAAAACTCAAGGCTAAAACGCTTGTAGAGCACTTCTGATCCTTAATCCATAACTTCTAGAATTTTATCTGTAGTGTGGCTGGTTGTTATCAGTAAAGACATCCACGGAAATTGCTGCTTGCGGTGAATACATAAAGGGAAAATCTGCAGAACATGGAATAGATGAAAGCGGAAAATTTCTTGCCGCAAATCGAAGGCTTGTGAGGCTTCCACTAATAAGAATTCAAATTACCATAGTTACTATAGTTAAAGAACTTAAACCTCAAAGATTGAAAGCAACATTTTGGGCCTGATTGATTAACATAATAGATTGTCTTTGCTCCTGTGAAGTGTGAACTGTGTCCCCTTAAAACCCTTTGTAGCAGGATCCTGACCTGGGGGGGGGGGGGACATTTGCCCCCATATCCCCCCTTGGTGGCCGCCACTGGCCTCGTCGGCCAACATCGGGAGAGGGGGGTTTTCTGAGTTAATCTCACAGTGTGATCGTTCGTATCTAGAACAATCCCACCTTGTATTGGACAATCCGATTAATTCCAGCTATATAATGGTGTCTATAATTTTTCATTACAATTACCTATAATCAAACATGATATGTGTACATGATGTGCAACCAGCTGCACTAATAAATATAGGTCGTAATTAGTAATTACCTTCCTTCCGACCTAGTTATAATCCATTTTCATACTTGTAAGCAGCTTTGCCAACCTTGTGCGACTCACAGTTATCTTTGGTAGACCCTCCCTTGGCTTCTCAGCATTTTTTTTCTATACTGCTTCAACAAAGTCACCAAGCTAGGGACAACGTCTGTGATTGTGAATAGAAATGACTAATCATAATATCGAAATGTTAGCCGAACGCTATGCGCATCTGGGAATGCGTACGCTCACAGGTCAACAGAAAATGGCGCTGGAAGAATCGCCGCTCGTCGCTCATCGAATTTTTGTAATACATTATATAGTTTTAATACAGACTATTGTGATCACATAGTAATGTTCCAGATAGCGGAGAAAGGTTGCGTGTTTAGAATAAACCAGTTTGGAAGTTCTAGGTCTCTGAAAACGCACTCAAGCAACCGCCCTGAGGAATTCCACTCAGGGGGTTCCCTCCACACAAAAGGATAGGGATCCGCGTTGTAACCTCTATCTGTGTTGGGTTCATTATTTGTTGCTAGGCAACTGGCCGGAATGGCATCCATGAATAGATTAGTAGATAGATAGACTGATTTTTTACCCCGCTTTCGGAACTGACACAAGCTGCGTCATTCATTGGCACATTGAAGTTCTTCTGAAAATTTAAGAATTCCGAAAATCCCTGACCGCCGCTAGCTCAATTGTTTACCCAAATGAACTGTGTGGCCTCTCTGCCCGCGCGCTTTTGGCTTGCTAGCAGGGCCTTTGAAATGGATATTGCCGGAGGCCAAGGCAACCCCCTCGCAACCACGCCCGTGTTTGGTTTACCATATAGCTTTGTCGACCATCAAGGATGGCGGTCGTCCGGAGTTTCTGGATGATAACCCTCCGTAATTTTCTGATTTCCTTTAAGGTGCATTGAAACATTTTACCTGCACATTAGTGTGTCAGATTAGTCATGGATATGTCCACAGTAAGTCCTAACGCGTAATGTTTCACATAATGTTCACCTATTTGCACACGAGGGGGGCGGTGATGCATTTGCTAAAAATTGTATGAATACTTTTATTCTTTATTGAATCACGTTCCAATGGGCTGTGCTTTCAACCGTCTTGTGCGTCAATGGCACTGCCGTCACAGGCCATATCAACCCTCGACACAATTTCATCTCTGTTCTGTTCACCGCCTGAATGCCGTGATTGATCAAGGGAGGGTGCATGTAAGAGTGAGACATTTCTTTTGGGTTGAAAAACACAATTCCCACATTGACGACATTTCATGGGCATCTTCAATGGAAGCTCTGCATAACTGGACGCCCCAACAAGCCTTTGTGACTGACACAGTCCAACAATTGAGAAAGGTCCATTTGCGCTCTTATTCTAGCCCCGGCCCGATAGTTCTGTATTTAGAACAAAGTCTTGCATTGTTCCTTCTAAAACTACCAGACTGCCGCTGACGCGGCTGTGGCCAGACGTGCGCCGGCTCGAATTATGGCGCACGTCTCCAACTGCGACCAGCGCTTCATACTTGTAAGCGAGTAGTGATATATTTGTTCAGTGAGCGCAGCAACAATGCGGCGGCGTGTGTTTACAGATGACACCGCTCAAGTCGCCCTGTGACTGTAACATCCCGCGGTGTCCGCCGTGCGCATATCCGCGGCGGAACTCGCGCGTCCTCATCTCGCGTGCAGCGCTCAGGATCACAGGCAAAGCGGGCCCAAGGATAGAAGAACACTGGGTCCGCACTAATAAACCAATTGCTTAACCTACTAACCTCAACCCTAATTAATCCCTAACCTCAACTCCTAACACTAACCAACACTATTATATTGATATAATACTTATATTTATATTGATGTAAATGACATTGGTTTTAATGGTACGCCATGTTCTCTATCGCTTAACCCAAAGCGGTGCCATCACGCCTGCACGCAATCTTTGTAATTCAGGTCTCTCGGATATACATTAAACTCCTAGCGATTACAGTTTACTACAATAAAAAATGGTATAACATCTTCTTACACTTTCGATCTTTTTCACTGTAACAAGAAAATCGTACTCTATGCCAGATTTTCAAGAACTACTGCAACTGCTTCCTGTCCTTAAAATCCGAGGGCGCTGCATACTATTACAATTCTTCTGCCGGCAGTGCACTAGCTTGTGATTGGTCTGTATTTTTCTAAGACCAAATAACTAACCTCGCAGACTCTAGTCCAAGACAAGTGAACATTACTTACAATCGTAGATTGTCCTTGCTTTTGTCGTACAGAGTGTTATATCCTATGTTATATCGTTGGTGTATAAGGGTTTATGTCAACTATTTAGTCGAAATCATACACGAGATGAGTTTCTTCATAATGTGGTGAAGTTGGTTGGTCCTCTGCTACCGGTGTCAGTTAAGACGACAGTATTACGGTGGTGTTTGTTGAATCATATGACATTCGGCCATTGGCATTTCGCAATGTTGACATTGTGATTGTTATCAATTTATGTTGTTGTTTGTAAACAATTATATTCATAATAATTAATGCTGGATAATGAATATAATATTAGAGTTACTAATACAAGTATGTGTTCAATTGCAGTGAGGTAAGTTTATTTAAATTAAACAAGTTTTGCGCCATTAACTTTTACGTGTATGCATCGTAAAGTCCCGTAAAATTGCTTTAGCGCCCTCACAGGCACTTTGCCACTTGGAAGTCCTCCACTAAAAAAAAATTTAATGGTAAATAAACACGCAATGTACCAAACGTCTCTCATCCGTTTCTCTACCAAAATAATCTGCCTATAATCACCTGTAAATCCTCAAATCTCATCACCACCAAGTACAATTATCCGCACGCCCGACTAGCTCAGTAACTGATAAGCCCGCTTACCATTGACTGCCGCTGGGCTATAGCATCAACCATTATAATGCTCGGACCTAACTTTTTGCATTATGAACAATTGTTGCTAACAATTTCTCCGACCTGCATCGTCCATCCATAGCATCAACTGCATTTTGGGAAAACCGACGCTACTTAAATACGCTATCTCCCTGTTGTTTCCAACAATGCAGTTGGATGCACGATGAATGGCCATGCATGTCGGAGACCCCCCAAAATTTGTTAGCCAAACAACTTTTCCAAATCGAAATAGGCTAAGGTAAGAAGAGTACAAGTGTACTTACCAACCGAGCCAAGCGATATAAAGTTTATTCCAGTTTTCGATATATGTGCATCAGATCTTGATTGATAGCCCCAATTTGAGTTTGGAAAGTCGATGAAACGCGATCCTCGACGGGAATATCGAGAAATTCCACGTTTGCATAGGCAAGTTGTCTGAACCTAACCACACCAATCCACCAAAATCCGTCGGTGTGGTCATTGGCAAGGATCTCGGACTTCGACCAAGATTCGATACAATGATAGGGCCACAGGCACTTTGAACGTCGCTCATAAAAAAAATTATGGTAAATTAAACACGAAATGTCCAAAGTCTTAATGTTTCTTCTCCTCTATTTGCTTAGCTATACTCCCCTGAAGAAATGACAGCAAAGCCATCTGCACCACGCAGTATCACGCCACACAGCGGCTGTGCAAAACAACAATAAATACAGAGAGCAGGATAGGAAAGATCTGATCGCAATTCCTCCTCACCTCGCTCATAATCACACCTTCACAGCACCAATACACATCCAACAGCTCCCATCTTGTATCTCATGTGCTACAGAAAGTTCACGAGTTGTTAAATTATAACTCTGGCCTTTGTTCTTCCTACTCTGCCAGAGATTGTCTCCTTGAAATCTTGCACCGAAATGTTCTCCTCCGGAAAATGCATAAAGAAGAGAATGTCTGTTTATACACGAGTAAATGGGCGCATTGCACATGCCGGGCTAGTCTGCTGCCGCTCCCGAGCTCCCTTTGCGAGCCGCACCAAGCAAGTCACAATGCGCGCAAGCGTGGACTCACCACACACGACTACAGCGATCGATCGAAAGTAGCGCTGTTTTGGATTTTTAGCTCATCTGACTAGTCAGATGCATCTTGGTAGAATCGCACTATCGTCCGTGCTCCGTGCGTCCGTCTCCGTGCTTCAACAGTTGGGCACAAATCTAAACCGCTGACGTACGGTCAGATATTGGACGTGGGGGTATCGAAACGATTGGGCATGTCGAAGCTGGGTCCAGAGGTCAAAGGTCAAGAGGTGTAAAAAGATAGGGGGAGCATGTCATTCTTAACCTCTAAGGTATAGGATGGAACTCAGATTGCGGCACAATCTAAACGCCTCGACCTAGGCTCGTGATATCGTGTATAGCATCATGGACGAAAAGCATCACTGCGTGCCGAAATTGGAGGTCACAGTCTAATGGCACAGGCAGATTTTTTAGACATTTTTTCTGAGTACAGGGTCTGACGGACGCGATTGAAAACTTTTTTTCAGCGGTGACCTAGCATTTTTATGGCTTTATTGAAAGGACCATGAAATGCTCTTCTGTGACATGCGAAGAGTAATGTCGCGATAACCTTTTGACCCTCAAGAGGAGGGTTAACTTCGGATTGTTGGACTGTCTGTTAGAAAGAATTGACTGCCGGCGTTTGCTAGTAGAATCTATACATTCTGGATGTATGAGGCTACAATGTCACAGTGAAATTTCAAAAGCTAAATTTGGTTAAAGAAGGTGTATGTTCCTTAATCGTATAATTCTATGTCATTCTGTACTGTCAGTATGTTACATGTAACGTATGCCACTGCCAGTGGCTGCTGCCAGTGCATTGTTGGTGTACTGTGGAGTTTTTGCCTTAATTGGTTACAGGTGTAGCTCTCTATTGGCAGCCTGTAGCTTGCGTAGTAAATGGATGAGTGCTTACCTATTCTGTCTTGCAGATAGTTGTTGCTACTACGTATGATGGCGAGCTTCCATCTTTAATACTGAAGACACTTAAACGTACGCGCCATCTCGTGGCAACTTTCATAACGATCCCAACGAACATTCTTTTGAGAAGGTTCCTGATACCATCCCTGTGCATTCCACTGTTTCGGGCGTGTACTGTGAACACATTTGGGACTAACAGCGGTTTACTAGAATCCTACCACTCCACCACAGAGTCACCGCAGTAGACAGTAGCATGAGCGCTTGTCGCTTTGTGGGCACTTGTTGTATCATGTCGTCCTCTTTATTTTCACGGCAGAGCACATTTCGTGCAGAATTTCACGGAGATATCTCTGGCGGAGTAGGTATGAACAAAGGCCAGCGTCTATAATTCGAACAAGTAAACATTTTCTGTACACATGGATACCAAGATGGGAGCTGTTGGATGTGTATTTGTGCTGTGAAGGGTGTGAAATAAAGCGAGCGTCGAGCTAATTTTGCGATCACGCTTTCCTACCTGCTCTCTTATTTCTGTTGTTTGTGCACAGTGCGGGCGTGCGGTGTACTTGCGTGTGATGAGCATTTGACTGGCATTTACAGGTGATTATAGGCGAATTAGAGTAGAGAAACATTAAGACTTTGGTACATTTCGTGTTTATTTACCATTAATTTTTTTTATTGAGACGTTCCAAGTGGCAAGTGCCTGTGGATAGGGCCTACACAATTTTACGCGACTTTACGATGCATACACGTAAAGTTAATGCGCAAAACTTGTTTAATTGTACTTACCTCACTGCAATTCACACATACTTGTATTAGTAATCTAATATTATATCATTATCCACCATTAATTATTATGAATATTAATTTTTACCAACAACTATCAATCAAGATCTGATGCACATATATCGAAAACTGATAACTTATATGCTTGCTCGCGTTGGTAAGTACATTGTACTCTTTTACCCTTATCTATTCGATGAAAATTTGTTGCTATGGCTGATCAGATCTTGATTGATAGCCCCAATTGATGAGTTTGGACGATGAAACACACGATCCTCGACCGGGATCGGAAATCCACGTTTCTGCATAGGCAAGTGCTCTGACCCTAAACCCACACCAAATCAACCAACATCGTCGTGTGGGCATTGGTCAGAGGAATCTCGGACTACAATCTTGTGTGCCGCATTATTTTCTGTTCTTTGACATACATAAGTTGCGTGTGGTAAATTCTACTAATTTGCCATGATATTTTCTTTGCCTTTTTTTTAAAAACAGCATTGCCACGGACAGCACAACGCTCAGCACGATGCATGACAACCCGGGATGTCTGCAAGACTTCTGTGTCAATTACATAAGTGATAACCTCGGCCAGCTTTGTGAGGTAAACATACAGTACATGTTTAGAAATATATTAGAGTAAATATTTATAGATCAAGATACCAAAGACTCGTTTTCTTGCAGAAAAAGGGTTCACAAGATAAAAATATATATGATAAGTACACTGCACTTTGTTACTGTTGCCCAGAGTATCAGCATAGCCTGCTGCCAATCAGTTCAAGCTAGCCACTAGTTACCTTTTCATATGGAAAGCCATCCCCTTCAAAAGTCATTTTCAAACATTTAAAATACACAATTTAAAATCAATTTTAAACATTTCAAATTAATTAATAAAAATACAAATTACTTTATATTATTTGAGAAATTTAATGGGGGAGTTTTTCTGGGGGAGCACCCCCATACCCCCCGCCCGTTTCTCACCACCCTCCATGAAATCCTGGATCGGCCACTGTGGAGCATAACAAATTGAACACCCCACTTCAAAAATCGTTCCGTGGCACCTGCTATACTGCACACTCTGAACGTAGTTTGTGTACATGCAGTTGTTGGCCCATTAGTTTGGGATTCACATGCACTAAAATTCACCAGAATGCATGGAATGAAGTCTTTGTAACAAACATTTTCCTGGGAGGGGGAGTCCCAGGACCTCCAGACCCCCCGCTTAAAAAGTGGCCTGTCTGGGGCTATATTTCGCGCTATATTTTCCGGCCTGAACGATTTTCCCAGTCAGGCCATGTATGTAGGCCTACTCGTTGAACAGCGTTACAGGTGCCCGTGCGCGAGTTAGGCTGTTACTGTATAACCAACCCTAACGGTAGTCCGAGTTTCCTCTGACCAACGAGAGCGTCGTGCGAATGAAGATGCAGTTACGCGCGCCGCTGTCGACCGCCTGGAAGCGTCGCTCGCGTGCGCCGCGGTCCCGCAGCGCCTCCACCTCACGTTTCATCGCCGCCTCGACATCCGCGTCTGCGTCGGCGGTCGCCGCAGCGACGTCTTCTGGCCCATAGAGGGCGTCGGCGTACTCATTGAGAATGCTGTATGCCTCGCGCAGGCATCGGGGCTCTGTCATGTTGCATGTGATGAGGAAGCCCCGCATGCCGGCGTCGAGGCAGGCACGCGAGCCGGTCGTGCGCGCCTGCTTCGAACACTTGAGGTAATAACTCTTCGTTCGCTTCTTCTCCATGGCTAGCAGCGAGCCACAGGTCTAGCTACACGAACGACACGTTCCGTATACTTACTGCTGAACCAAGGATAGATGTCCGATTCTCGTCTTCGAAGACTCCGTCCAAAGTACTTCTCCGCTACTCGCTGAATTTGATTGTGTTCTGGGTTTTCTTGTGCGCCTCCTGTATATCTAGTGCAATTTTCTGATAGCGCGCCGCAGCGTTTAAGTCCTTCGTCACTCCTTTGCCGGATTTGTACATCAAGCTCAAGTTCTGACAAGCGTACGCGTTTTCCTTATCGCATGCTTTAAGAGACAGCTGAAACGCTTTCTTCATATCCTTGGGGACCTCGTCACTACCTTTGATGTAAAGGCCACTGGCTTGGTAGCAACTTTTAGTGCAGTCTAAATCGCAGCCCTTTTCAAAGTATTGCAATGCACACTTCTTGTCTTTCTTGCCATCGACGTAACCACTGCCATAGATCAGACCAGCTTGCAGGCAAGCATCTCCACATCCGTTGTCACAGCCCGTCTGGAAGTACCTGTAGACCTCGGGAAACTTGGCCTTCGGTCCTGGAAACGCCGAAACATAAATGAGAGGCTATTAAATCTACAGGGCTGAATTTTTTACCAACAATATGTGTATCCCGTGGCCAGTGATGGCACTAGAATTGTAAAAATGTGGGGGGGGGAAGCTTGCAGGGCCAAGGAAAAATGGGGGGGGGGCAAAATGTTGTGATCGGCGAGGTGCGAGAACTAAGGGTGGGTCCAGGGGCGAAGCCACGCGAACTCCGAGTTTTTCAGCATTTTGCAGTGACACAAATCAAGCCTAAAATACGCTTGCTAGAGGACAGCCATTCTGATCCATATCCAAACTTCGTACATTTTACTGTAGGGCTAGTGTTGTAAATAAGCGACTATCCACGGAAATTGCTGTTCCGCCGCGCAAAAATAAAGGGACAAAATCGCAGAAATGGAATACGAGCAAGCGGAAATTTCTCTCGCAAGCATTGGAAGGTCCTTGTGAGGTCTGCCACTCAAGAAGAATTCAAAGTTTATCATAGTCGACCATGGCAGTTAAACGTAACTTGAAGGTCGAACCCTCAAACGATTCGAAAGGCAACATTTTGGGCCTATTGAGTAACATTAATATTGTCATTGCTCCTGTGAAGTCGGTGAACTGTGTTCCTCTTAAAAAAACCCTTCGCTACAGGAAAGCTGACTGGGGGTGGACATTTGCCCCCCATGCCCCCCTTGGTGCCTCCACTGCCCCCCATGGCCAACATCGGAGGTTTCTGGGTTACTCACGTGTGAATTGTTCGTATGGCTAGATACAACCACACTTGGTATGCAGCAATCCATTAACAGCCTATATGGTTGTATTATTAAACTTTTTCATTACAATTAGCCTATATCCAAACATGTGTGCTACATGATGTGCAACAGCTGCAAATAACTATATGATGGGTCGTAAATTAGTAATTACCTCCTTGACCAGTAGTAGAATTTTCCATACTTGTAGCAGCTTTGGCCAAATTGGCACTCACAGTCTATCTTGACGACCACTCCCTTGCTTCTCAGCATTTTTTTTACTGCTTCCACAAAGATCACCAAGCAGGTGCAACAACTGTGACTTCGTGATAGAAATGGGGGGGGGGGGGGGGCGGGCGCGGGCGGGGGGGGGGGGGGGGGGGGGGGGGGGGGGGGGGGGGGGGGGGGGGGGGGGGGGGGGGGGGGGCGGGGGGGGGGGGTTAATCATATATTCGAATGTTAGCCTGAACGCTATGCCGCACTTTGGAATGCGTATCGTCGACATGTCAACAGAATGCGCTGAAAGAATCGGCGCTCGTCGCGTTCGAATTTCTTGTAATACGTTACTATTAGTTTAATACAGTGACTATTGTGATATCAATAGATAAGTTCCAGGATAGCGGTAGACAAGTTTCGTAGAGAATTAACCCAGTTTGAAGTTCTAGTCTCTGAAACGCACCAGCAAACCGCCCTGAGGAACTTCAACTCAGGGCGGTTCCTCCACACAAAGGATAGGGACGCGTTCAAACCATACCTGTGTTATGGCGTTACATATTAGTTATTAGCGCATGGCCGGGAATTGGATCGAATGGAATAGCATAGATAGGATGTAGAAGAGTCGATTTTACGCAAACGGCGTTTCGAAGTTGAACAAGTGCTCATTCATTGCCACATTGAAGTTTTTTCTTAAACATTTAAGAAATTCCGAAGAATCCTTGACCCAGGCGCAACTCAATATGTTTTAGCCAATGAACGTGTGTGGCACTTGCCCGCGGCGCTTTATGCTTGCCTTAAGCGGCCTCGAAATGGATATCGCGAGGCAGGGCACTCTCAGAACACGCCTGTTGCTTTTACGATATAGCTTATGTGACACAGGTATGGGCGGTGTCGGTGAGTTCTGCCGGTATTGATAACAACTCGTAATTTTCTCAGAATTTCTTAAGGTCGGCGATGGAACATTTACCAATTTAGTGGTGTCCAGTTAGTCATGGATATGTCAGCAGTACAGTACTAACCGTAATGTTTCACATATGTTCACCTATTCTTTGGCACACAGGCGGTGGCAGCATTGTAAAAAATTGTTGAATATATTTATTTTATTGAAACGTTCCAAGTGGCCTGTGCTTTCAACAGTCTTGTAGCGTCAATGCACCTGCGTCAGAGCCATAAACTCGACACAATTTCATCTCTGTTATTGTTTACGCCTGAATGCGTGATTGATCAGGGAGGGGTGCATGTAAGAGTGAGACATTTTCTTTGGGGTTCCGAAAAACACAATTCCACTTGACAATTTCATGGGCCATTTCAATTGGAAGCTCTGCATAATGGACCCCCTAACAAGCCCTTTGACTGACTAGTCAACAAATTGAAAAGTGTATTTGCTCTTTAATATTTAGCCGCCGATAGTTCTTATTTAGAACTAAGTCTTCATTGTTATCTTCTTAAACTACAGACCATCCGCTGACCGCTGCGGAGACGTGCGCCGGGCCTCGAATTTGGCGCACGTCTCCACTGCGGACAGCGCTTCATACTTGAACATATATATATTTGTGTCAGTGAGCGCAGCAACAATGGCGGCGGCGTGTGTTTACAGATGAAACGCTTCAAGTGCCTGTGACTTGAACATCCCCGCGGTCGCGTGCGCATATCCCGCGGAACTGCGCGTCTCATCCGCGTGCAGCGCTCAGGATCCACAGCAAAGCTGGGCCCAAGGATAGAGAACATGGGTCCCAATAAAACCAATGTGCCTAACCCTAACCCTAACCCTAATTCTAACCCTAACCCTAACCCTAACCATAACCCTAACCTATTATATTGATATAATATTATATTTATATTGATGTAAATGACATTGGTTTTATTGGGACCCATGTTCTCTATCCTTGAACCCAAACCAAAGCTGTGCCACGCTGCACGCAATCTTGTATCAGGTCTCTCTGGATTACATTAAATCCTAGCGAATTACAGTTACCTAACAATAAAAAATGGTATAAAAACTTAGTTACCTTTCGGATCTTTTTCACTGTAACAAGAAAATCTGTACTCTATGCCGAGATTTTTCAAGAACTCTGCAACTGCTTCTGCGTCCTTAAAATCGGAGGGCGCTGCCATACTATGCACAGTCCTGCCGGCAGTGCCACTAGTTGTGATTGGTCTGTATTTTCTCTAGAGGCCAATAAGAACTGCAGACTCTAGTCAAGAACTATACGACAAGTGAACATTACTTTACAAGTTCGTCGATTGCTTGTTTTTTCGTAACAGAGTGTTATATCCTATGGTTATATCGTTGTGTAATAAGGGTTTATGTCAATATTTAGTCGAAATCATACCAGAGATGAGTTTCTTCTAATGTGGTAACGTTGGTTGGTCTGCTACGTGTCAGTTAAGACCGACAGTATTCGGTGAGTGTTTGTTGAATCATTGGACATTGCATTGGCATTTCGCATGTTGACATTGTGATTGTTATCAATGTTATGTTGTTGTTGGTAAAAATTAATATTCATAATAATTAATGGTGGATAATGATATAATATTAGATTACTAATACAAGTATGTGTGAATTGCAGTGAGGTAAGTACAGTTAAACAAGTTTTGCGAGAAAAATCAAGCCTAAAAACGCTTGTAGAGCACTTCTGATCCATATCCAAACTTCTAATTTTACTGTAGTGTGCTAGTGTTGTAAATAAAGACTATCCACGGAAATTGCTGTTGCGCGGAAAAATAAAGGGAAAAATCGCAGAAATGGAATAAGAAAGCGGAAATTTTCTTCCCAAATCGGAAGGCTTGTGAGGTCTGCCACTCAATAAGAATTCAAATTACATAGACGGGTTAAAGAACCTAAACCTCAAAGATTGAAAGGCAACATTTTGGGCCTATTGAGTAACATTAATATTGTCATTGCTCCTGTGAAGTGTGAACTGTGTCCCCTTAAAAACCCTTGTACAGGAGCTGACTGGGGGGGGGGGGACATTTGCCCCCCATGCCCCCCTTGGTGCCGCCACTGCCCGTGGCCAACAATCGGAGGGGGTTTTCTGAGTTATCTCACAGTGTGATTGTTCGTATCTAGATACAATCCACACTTGGTATTGACAATCCATTAACAGCTATATGCTGTATTATAAATTTTTCATTACAATTAGCCTATATCAAACATGAGTGTGTACATGATGTGCAACAGTGCAAATAATATATATGGTCGTAAATTAGTAATTTACCTCCTTGACCTAGTAGTAGATATTTTCCATACTTGTAGCAGCTTTGGCCAAACTTGTGCGACTCACAGTTATCTTTGTAGACCCTCCTTGCTTTCTCAGCATTTTTTTCTACTGCTTCAACAAAGTCACCAAGCAGGTGACAACCTGTGATTGTGAATAGAAATGATAATCATATATCGAATGTTAGCCGAACGCTATGCGCATTGGGAATGCGTACGTCACAGACTCACAGGTCAACAGAAATGGCGCTGGAAGAATCGCCGCTCGTCGCTTCGAATTTTTGTAATACGTTATATTAGTTTAATACAGAGTATTGTGATACATAGTAAGTTCCAGGATAGCGGAGGAAGGTTCGTGTTGAATTAAACCCAGTTTGGAAGTTCTAGTCTCTGAAAACGCACCAGCAAACCGCCCTGAGTGATTCACTCAGGGGTTCCGCCACACAAAAGGATAGGGACACGTTGTAACCCTATCCTGTGTTTGGGTTACATTATTGTATCTAGGATGGCCGGATGGATGCATGAATAGATAGATAGATAGATGATTTTTACCCGCTTTCGGAAGTGAACAAGTGCGTCATTCATTGAACATTGAAGTTTTTCTTAAAATTTAAGAATTCCGAAAATCCCTGACCGCGCTACTCAATTGTTTTAGCCAATGAACGTGTGTGGCATCTTGCCCGCGCGCTTTATGCTTGGCTTAGCGGGCCTCGAAATGGATATCGGAGGCAGGCACCTCGCAACACGCCTGTTTGTTTACATATAGCTTTGTGACATCAGGATGGGCGGTGTCGGGAGTTCTGCGATGATAACCTCGTAATTTCTCAGAATTTCTTAAGGTGCATGGAACATTTTACCAATTTAGTGGTGTCAGTTAGTCACGGATATGTCGCATATGTTTTACATACGTTCACCTATTTTGCACACAGGCGGTCTAGACAAAAGACAATTAGAATGTTATAGCTTAATGTACAATGGGTAATCATACACGCTTTCAAAACTATATAAAACGTTTACAATCGAAGAGCTTCTCATATTTAAACAATCAACTTTATTTGCAACTTCCAATTATTCAAACAGTCTGAGAATCACCGTTACTAAGTTACTAATTCCTACAGGTTTTTACATAGACCGGATTTGACCGCCTACGTCTGATTTGTTTCGCGGGTCAGACCGCTGCAACTACATTATGTCAGGGAAACTTGCGAGATCAATTCATAGGACTTTGGCAATCTATTCACTACATTCGTAGTACACTTTCCCGAACGGCAGCCAACTACAAACCAAACTTCAAATCAATTAAGCCGTATTTCCCTCGAACGAGCAGCCACAGGGCCCTGTATTGTTTTAAAACTGTCTCATTGCCCGGCGCTTTATTCGAGGTGCCGGCGCTCATGATAAAAATGTATGCCTTATTTCAAGATACAATACACTTTTTATCAGTCAAAATATAAATAGAAATCTCTCTTAAATCTTCCCACCAGGTAAACATAATTTTCGTTTGAAATTTCAAGTTCAACGTTCGCGCCACACAAACATGTCGCAAATTCATTTAGACGCTAATCTATAACTGTCAAGATGAGAAAGCATCTGACAACTTTATTATCGCAATCTTATTCTCAACAAACAGAAGACATGAAACAAATGAACATTCGACGAGTTTATTTACAAAAAACAAAATAAATATTACATTGAAGACACAAGGCCGGGGACCAAAACAATATTATTATCTGTTTAAGCCAAATGTTGCCATAATGGCATGGTCATTCTTCCTATCGCTTGGTCGTCATGCACCAGCAAGCCGTTGTCCTCCTGCTTCGTTGTCGGAGTCAGTGCGCAGAGCCTGGTATAGGGCATGTCAGTGTGCGGCCATTTGCATCTCGAAGAATTGACATTTTGTTTAATAGTTGTCTTTTGTTCGGCAACATGGGATTGCCATGTCTTTGAGTCACATTGATCGCAGCGTTTCTCCAAGATTGTCCACATTGTTTGACAACCCACACACTTTTGAAAATTTTTTATTTTGAGTTCTGGAGACAGTGCTCCCAAGCCCCGTTCTCACCCACGTGAGATGATGCGACTTTTTGGACAGCGAGCTCATATGTTGGCCCCTTGGTATACAAACCTTCCTCCCCGTTGGCCATGCCACGTGTCGTCGAGGCTGTTCTCGGCATGGCCGTCTTGAATGCTGTTCCGACACAAACAATCTGGCGCCTGGACCAGTCCAGTGCACCCACCAGGACATGACGCCATCCTCCGTGATTCAGATCCGCCCGAAGTTCTTGTCCATTCGACAGTGTCCATAATGCTGGGCATCTGAAAGCATGCGCCCATGCCAGCAGGCGCTTTGGCCGAATGGCCACGGGCGGCCCGCACCACTTGTCGTTAAGCCGAGATCGTTTAGTGTGAGGTCTTCGTTCTACCACTCCATTGATCGACATGACAGAAACGCGAGCGGTCGCCTGATTGTGACCGCTAAAGCGGTCGCCGAGTGAGGAGGTTACTCAGAGCGGACAGCCTCACGATCGACGAGTGCCGTGTAGAGGGGAGGACCGAGTGCGGACGGTCCGAGTGGCCGTGGTCCGCGCTCCCCGAAGCCGCTGGGCGTCCTGCGCACGCCAGGCGGCGAACCCAACGAACATTGTCTAACTCTTTGTCTTTTCGAACACGCTTTCTAAACACAATAAGGGCGGTAACGTTTACAACCATTGGCTTTTTGCAGCCAGGACCACTGTAATTCGGACTGCTTCATGACCATCTGGTCTTCAAGTGGTCATCCGACTTGGTACCGAAGTGAAGTCCACAGTGGTGTCCCTTGCAATGTCGAACCGCACAGCCGGGTCTCGGTGGCTATGGCGGGCCGTCTGGCGAGTCTTGAACAAAAACTGCGGCAAAGCACAATGAACCGCCACAAAAGAGAGTAAGAATCAGTCTTTGGGGATGACAAAGCGCTCTGGAAGCTTTTGTGGCGAGAGTGGTGGCGGTCGTCGGAGGGCTGAATCGCCATGGGCGGTTGAGACGAATTTTTCCAACGCATCCTCCGACCTGGATAAAAGGGGAGAGTCGGGCTTCTCGTGAATCAAACAATTCCCAGTGCTTCGCGCTGGACTCTCTTTCCTGGTGACCCTCGTAAGTCTCTGGCCCTCTGGTCTTCGTCCACTAGACCCAGCTCTGTCTCCAGGTTCTCATCTAAGAGGCCTGCGCCCACCTCCATCAAGCTTTCGCGTCGTTGTGCTGTGTGCTGGCCATGGTTTGCTGCATGCGTAGCTTCTCCTCCCTGCTTTCACCATATCTCCGATGGCGTTTGAATCAACATTCAATTTTCTCGCTGAGCTTCCTTCTGAGTTGCCATCTTTACAACCACTGTATGGCTTCAAGGCTTGAAAGCTACAGTATAACTGCTTTCGCATCTTTCGCTTCCTGGAATCCGGCGGCTTGTTAGTGTAGGTGTCTCAGGCCGATGGACGTTGACGAGAGATAATTCTAGATTTTAAGCTCGCTGAGACTGAATTAAACGAATCAGAGAAACTCGATTATCTTATAGAATTATTGATCACGAAGGCTCAATTCAATTTCAAATAAGAGCTGCGCTCTTGTCACTATTACGTTTGTGTCTTCTTGTTTGTTTAATCCTCATACTAATAATGCAAAGGCCTAAACAAGGCTCGCTCAATATGCAACAATTTCCAAAACACTCGCCCTAAATTCACTACGCTATGTCTCCACACAGGTGGCCACCCGACGTAGTGGCGGTCGCACGAACACGACGACGGCAAAACGCAGCGCGCCGTTATGCTGAAAAAAAATCCATGGTGTCGTGAATTTCGCCGCAATTGTGTCTGAGCGGATTGGTGTTCACGTCGGTTCAGAGAATCAGAAATTCATGCATCGGTGGCTCATGTTGTCCATTGGCTGATGGTCAGCGTGGAGCAGAACATATCATTTCATGTGAAGGTCATATCACATCTCATCGACGCGGCCCATCCATTTATTTTCGAGGGGGCTCTACCCCCGCCCCTATTTCGAGGCACGCCTCTTACGAGGCCAGGCGCTGTCGTTCGAGAAATAGCGGTAATTGTAAAAGTGCGGCAGGGATCGCTTTAAGCTTCGGATGGATACGCTATTCGTTCTGAGCCGTCTATGTCATACCGCACTGGGTACTGGCCAGGAACGTACCCTGGGTACGGTCCGGTATACCGGAAACGTACCTGGTAACTTATCTGAGTACTGGTTAGGGTTAGGGTTAGTGTTAGGGTTAGGGTTTAGGGTTAGGGTTAGCGGAGTGGACGTAGGCGACTCCTAGACTCCGTAGATATTTATACCTATACTTATACTTGGCAATATTGTCCGTTAGCGCAAAGGGTACGTTCCGGTATACCGGACGCGTACCCAGGGTACGTTCCGGCAGCTACGCAGGAGCAGACATAGACGCCTCTCAGCGGCTATTGGAGAATCAATTTTTACCACACAGTCCGTTGCGGCTTCACTGCGCCGAAAAGACGTGTTTGTCTTACAGCTGTATGACTACAGTGTAGTGAGCATGTGTTTGCCAAGGAGCTGAATGTAATTATAGCATAATGTTATAATATCATAAGCTCCTTGGTGTGTGCCAAGCACAGACCCCGTTCTACTTTCTACAACCGACTGCACTACGATTATAGTGAGGTAGAACTACAATAAGTTCTAACTGCTAATCTGTGTCTAGACTTTTACACAAGGTGGAGTAAAACCCCATTCATCTAGTGACTAGGCTAGTCAGCTGTCCGTCGTAAAAGTGACACTCACTTAGTCGCCGCTGAATAGGGTTATGTCTGCCCTGGGTAACTGCCCGGACGAGCGTACCCTGCTACGGTCAACGTATACCGAACGTACCCGGTAAACTATCTGATATGGTTCAGGGTTAGGTTAGGGTTCAGGTAGTAGGCGTAGGCGAGCTCCGCCTAGACTTCGTTAGTGAGTACGGCGAGGTACGGTCCGGCAATACTTAGAATAGTACGCCCAGGGTCACGTTCGCGGGCAGTACTCCAGGGAGACATAGACCCTGGCCAGCCCTTAGTCGGCACGATGACTAGACTTCAAGTGATTGAGTACGACATAGCAATATTTACACTTACTCGTGAGGCTCTGAGCAATGGCGCCTCAGCT